TCTCACGATTGTATGTGTGTGGAGTGATTCTTGAGTCAGTCTATGTGAGTCAGTCTATGTGAGTCAGTCCGTTTATCAGACTTCCGCTGCATATAAGCGCATCCTACATTGGTTGATCTTTGGTTCTGCCCATACTCATTGAAGTATGTAACAGTTTTGGTATCGGAGCAGACCAATKACRGATCTGCTCACCAGGTAAGACTGATTTAGGAATTAGATTGTTCTTCAATCTTCCAAATCAGCGCTGAATTACTATCAAGTTCAAAGTCGCAAATTTTTTTTCTTTTCGGTATTCTATTTATTTCGGCATTTCCGTTTCAATTCGGTATTCGGACTTATAATTCGGATTTCTGTTTTCTCCCGGTATGCTGTTTATTTGGGTTCCGATTGAGTGATACTAATCCGATAATTGGTTAAGATTCGGATTTCTGATTGTACACGTATTAGGGTTGAATCAGTATCATGTTGAAATTCGGCTTTTCTGCTTTCCATTCAGCATTCCGTTTTTCGGCATTCTGTTGTAAATCCTATATTTCGTTTTCTTTTGGATTTCCGTTGTCTTTCAGTATTGGAAATTAGGGTTACGAAAATCTTTTGGTTTTAGATAAACCTGGGGAACTTCGAACGTTTTGGGACCGTAAATCCGGAAATTCCGCCAAAACGAGAAAAATTAGGGTTGGGACCGAAATTTTTTTTCGTTCCCCTTGTTTGAGAAATTCCGAAAACGGGTTTTGGCCTTTAAAAATCGGATTTTGACAGTGGAAATTCCCGAAAATTCACGTTTTTGAAAATTCGAGTGTTTTTTCCTAACTTTTTCCGAAATTTTTTTGGGCAAACTAATCCGAAGCTAACCCTCAAAGTTGCAACTTCCGGGTAGTTCACTCATTAACGGTGAATTCCCGGACCGTATTTGATCTCAAAGGGACCTAATCTTGATACAATTCAAATTCGTTCATTACCATTATTGCAAATATTGCTTATTGATTATAGTTATTGCAATATTGGTTCTTGATTATCTTTATTACAAACATTGTTTTATTGATTATCATTAAGAATTATTATTTCGTTATTTATCATTAATTAAGCTTTATTGATTAAATAATTCGTTAATTTTATTTCTTATTACGAATTTTTTGAATTGTTTACGGGAAATTTATTTTTCTGTTTTGGATTAGGTGTCTACAGTCCATCAGTGGGAAAGGGGACTGCATGTGTATTGTTTGATTGTTCTACCCCTGTGCCCACTCTCTCTCTACCCTCCCCGTAATCTGTGACCACCGGGACTTCTCAACTACCACATCAGTTCAGACTGATGTCGATGGAACAAGACACCGGGGCACTGCCACGACGCAGTGCCAGGCTTGCAGTTCGTAGCCGCTCGGTGTTACCTCCACGAAACAAGGCTCAGCAACAACGCCTCAGCAAGCGGAAGACTTCAACGGCATCGAGTACAGCAATGACAGTACCAGTGACCACCGCGATTCTTCCCGCATGCCCGGTCCAAGGGGCCGGTGAGCCGTTGGCAGCTTACCTTCAGCGGGTACAGGCATTCACAGATGCCGTGGCTACCGCAAAGGCACAAGAGGAGGCAGCAGAAACTGAACGTCAGCGGCTGGCGAATGAGGCAACAGCCCAAGCTCAGCARACTGCTGAGGCTGACGCAGCGGCACGAGACCGACGGAATGCCGCCAGCACGGAGTCCTTGATCGCTTGTGAGCATCAATGGACAACGATACTCCAAGGCGTGTTCTTTGTGCCTACGGAAACGCAGGCGGAGCCGACACAGGCGGAGGCAGAGAGAAGTAACCTGGCTACCGTGATGTTGAACGTAATGAGGGGAGTAATGTGGAACAACAAACTACTGCAGGCACACCTGCACGCGCAACGACAGCAAAGACAACAGTACCAGCAAGACCTGGCCGCTGTAACGGCTGCCGTCCGCGACGCAGCAACGCAGCAGCAGCAACAGCAACAGCTGTTAAACTCTACCATCACACGCATCAACGGCATTGAGGCCAACGCCTCAGCAGCGCCAGGCTGCACGACAGACGAGACGAAGCAGCTCAATGGGCGCATCGATCATGTCGTCAAACTCATCGGCGATACAGGTGTTTTCAATGAGCCAGACACGATCAGTAGCACGGTGGCCGCCATCAAGACGGACATCACCAAGCTGCAGACGAAACCGGACGCCGCTACGAAGACTTACAAGATGCCGCACTTCGACATCAGCAAGTTCGACGACTACAACAAGTCGGACGCCTTGACATGGTGGCAACGCTTCCTCACGGAAGCATCATGCCGCACTGTCCCGGCGGACGACATGATGAAGGCGCTCTATTTGCAACTGATTGGAGGAGCGCAGGCATGGATGAACCATCTGGCGGCTACCAACAAATGCACCATCGCCGAACTCCACACGCACATCACGTGGAAAGAGTTCGAGAAGCTATGGCTCACCCGGTTCATGGTTCGCAACATCGTGAAGGCAGCCATGAACGAGGTGTACGCCTGCTCTCAAGGTAGTATGCCAACTCGAGACTGGACAACTAAGTGGCAGAAGATAGTGACCACGCCAGGCTTCGATTTGWGTTTTACCAATCAATGATCYGAGTTCTTCTCRCGATCGTGCGCAGGACTGCGATCGGCACTCGGCAACGAGTACGATTACGATTCATTCCAGGCCATTCTGGATCGKGCAAACTTGGTCATCCAAACGGATGACAAGGCCGCAAACGAACGGCAGTCCCAGCCGCATTATGTGGCTAAGCATGTCTATCAACGTCCGGCACACAACAATGCCGTGATTTC